AAAAAAAAAAAAAAAAAAAAAAAAAAAAAAAAAAAAAAAAAAAAAAAAAGACAGGAATTTATTTGCTTTCAGCAATATAGATAGACTATATATGCCAAATGCAATTTAATTGTGTGCTAACTTTTTTTTTTTAAGCCACCTACGATTGCTATGGGATCAAACCTCCTCAGACAATGGGGCCCATAGGAGTTAAGAGGCATTTAGTCTACTTATCTGGTCCTGGTGAAAGGGTAACATGTCTGCTTCAACACACTGGTTAAAAGGGATGCTATAAACATCACAAAACTGCAAAGAATTTCTGCTAATTAAGCCAGTAGAACACAAATAAAAAGTAATTTCTGTGCACGTTACCTATTTCATTCTTTTTCAGTCTGGCCACAGATTTTTCCGCAATCACAAGTAGAAGCTGAGTGAGACTCAGTGCACAATAAATATTGGGAACACTGCTTTGGAAGTTTATTAAGTACTGAAAACCTTGGCTGTAAAACACAAAGAAGGGGCCGCGGGAAGAATATATCAATAAGGATATACTTGTTGATGTATCAGCAGATATAAGAAAGCACAACATAAAGTCTCGCTTCCCCAAGGATTACGCCCATCATTTTTTCCCTTGGCTTTTCCTTTTCTTTTTGGCCCATTTGAATTGGTCAGGAACAGAAGGGCTTAGAATTTTAGCTATCAGGATTTTGACTGCAGGAAAGGCAGATGTGGGTGATTTCAGTGGGCAAAAGGCTATCTTTCAGATATGGTGGTAGTCTGAGGGTCATGCTTGCAAGGGGGCAGGACTAAAGGGAGAGCAGCATCGCCACAGTGGCTAAAAGACATTTAATATGATTTTTAAAAAATATTTATTATGCGGTGGTTCTGTGCTCACAGTGCTGCAGCAATGGAGCTTTGTTAACTGAAGCATGAGTTTAACTAAAAGATTTTAAAAACTGAAGAAACTGCCTTAGGCCCTTTAGTGGCCATTGTTTTTGAAATGCGATGGGTGGAGGGCTATAGAGTTGCTAGCCCCCAAACAACAACAACATTTATTTATGTTCTTCACCAGAGTGCATTCCAATAAAATCAATAATAAAACATATTTTCTGTGTATAAGTCGCCCTCATGTATAAGATTGCTCCCCCTCTTTTCTAACTGAACAAGTTGAACCAATAGGTTTTCAAACGTCATCTAAATTTGTCCAACTCTGGTTCCACATGAAGGTGCTGGGGGAGAGATTTCCACAGCTTTGGAGAAAAGTGAGAAAATGCCCAAAGTCTGGAATTTTCCACCTACAAAAGTCTGGAATCTGTGGGCCGAATCCTCTTAAGAGGAATATGCCATGCCATGCCATGCCATTTCTTTACCTTTGCTAAAGAATTCTTGTCCTAAGAACATGGGGCATTAAAGATCAAGGTGAGGATTTTAAGATAGGTCCTTGATGCCATACAATAATGGGAGATATGGGAGTAACATAGTAAGTTTGAAGCCTCTCATAGCACACTATTTTGTACCAGGGTAAAAGTACAAAGTGAAGGAAACATGGCAAAATTGCCTCCCACATCATCTAGAAAAAGGGGACTTTTTGAGCAACTGTTTTTCAAAAACAATTTTAAACCATTTTTGGGGTGGGAGGGGTTGGGAATCTCCCAGGAGTGCTGCAAGAATGCCTACTAGCTGTACATATGAAGCTAGTAGGGTGCAAGTTGCCCATCCCTGCCCTAAGGGGTGGATCTCAAGTCCTACCTGAGCAGTTCTTCAAGAGGGAGCTCTCTCTCGCCTGGCTTGAGTCTGTCTGCAAACACATGAAGACCCAATTTCAGCAAGCCATGGTTTTCATGTTGAGAAAATCCACTCCTGGAAAAAAATTTAAAAAATTAAATTACATTTAAAAAAAAGGGGGTGGAGAGTCCATTTTTGTTAGGCTAGCTAGTACAAGAAGGACAAAGGGATAGATTCTGCAAGGTTTGCATGCCAGGCAGCCAGCCAAGGTCCACCAGACATTTTTAGTCTTATTTCTCTAGGAAACTGTTGCAAGCTCTGGTTGCATACTTATCCCACAGGTGATTTTTTATCCATTTAAGAGAGAAAGTAACTGTGATACGACAGTACAGAAAAGACCTGTCCCAGCAATTCACTGTTAAGCTTACATGGTTTTCTTCATACCAGTCCTAACCAAAAAAGGAAAAAAAAACCCAATGCTCTTAAGATTGCTGATATTTCTTTATTCTTCTATTTACATTTCAACACACTTACCAGGCAAGCAGAAGGTGAAAAACTTGCAGTAAGCGCTGGTAACAGGATGCCATTAATTGGTATTCCTGAATGTTGACCCGGGGGCCATCAACCACCCCATGGTTCTCTGCAGTCAGTGCCTTAAGTAAAGCACAAGCCATTAAAGTGCAAAACTGTCCAATGCGTGGTTATATCATGGTCCAGCTGCTTTATATGGACCATTCATGAAAATATTTATAATGGACATATTGCATGCAGGAGTAGGTAATGTGTTTTCTGACCTGGAAGTAATTATGCATGTTTTCCATGTGGTTGCATAGGGGCTTTAAGAGTTCAACAGCACACCCAACCACTTCTTGAGATGTTCTTTGACATAGATGTGAGAATCCAACATTTCTATTTCCTTTTCCCTATAGGAAATCAAGGTGGATTTATTTTTACTCAAAGTGATCAATTTAAACATACAACCACATTAGCACTAAGATGCATCATTTTTCATGCCTCATACACATTCATCGAATTTTTGCATATAATTTATCAGTATCCCAAAGGTCTCCCAATGTCAGTAGAATTATAAGGAAAACTAGCTTCCATTCATTCAAACTAATGAATATCCAGACAATTTTGGATGCCACCGAGGCCTCTTTGTGTCGACTGAAATGTTTTCATTTGGGAAAAAAACTGAAATCTGAATGGTTTTAAAATATTCCAAAGACAAAGAAATTAGGCATCAAGAACTTGCGAGATAGGAAGAAGAAAGGCATCACAGAAAAGAGATAAGATGCACCAAAGCTATTCACTGAGAGGAAGTCCACAAAACATTAGCATAGCACTGAAGTCCCCTCCCCCCCCCCGGAGCCAGCTTGCAGGCAAAGTGTTGGCTGTGAGAGGCCTCACACAAAACTTTCAGGTGCAGTTCTCCCTGACCCATGTCTTGAGACACTTGTGCTGCTGATCTATTCTCAGCACTTCCCCATTTAGGCATACAAGGCCTTGTTCCTTCTTTGGTGCACACCTTCAAGAAAGGAGCTCTCTTTGCAGGGCCTGGGGTCAACACATGTTCCAGTTTACGGCACAGATCTTCTAAAAGAAACAGGAGCTCTGCAGGTCCGATCTGTACGACTTCACGGGTCTAGTTTTAAGAAAGAAAGAATACAATACAGTAAGACAAGTGTCCAAAATCGAGCTAAGAATGAAGATGTGCAGAAAGGAAACCCAGAGAAACCCACCTGAGAATTATAAACACTCCAGCAAGAGATGCCTGACTGGGGGAAATACAACAAGATTTGCACTTGGGGTAGGGCAGACAATACCAAAATTTAGGGGATCCTTTGAGTCAGGACAAAAGCCTTCCTTCAGGTCTTAAATGTGATTGTCCAATTCTTGGTTTCCATTTGTTGGGAGCAATTTTCAACAGCTTTTGTTCCTGAACTTAACAGGAGGGTGTAGTTATGTTTTGAAACTCTGGGGTGTTGAAAAGCCAGGAGAGGTGCAAAGTCGCCTTTACGAGGGAATGTGCATGCCTGCTGCATGACGAGAGTGGGGAAAATATCTGGTAGAGCCAAGATATTTTCCATAACGAAGGAACCTGTCAGGACGCTTTCCCAGAGTCACACCCTGGGCTCTGACTCCGATGAACTGGCTGAATCCACCACTCCAGCATTACTGGAAACAGATGTGAACTCCCAGTTGGAGCCAGGCTTCAAATTACAATAACAAGAGGCCAACCCAATCCATCAATGCAGCAGGCATATGGGATAACCCAGGTTCCAGCAGCAGAGGTGAGCAACTTCAAGAGATCTGAGGGCCACCATCCATCCACCCAGCGTACTAGAGGATCGGGAGCCTGGGACCTCCAAGCCACAGCCTCTAGAATTGGCACCCTCAAAGCAGCCCCCTCCACCAGCTAAAGACAGAATTCTCCCTTGCCTAGGCCTGCACTTCCAGGCTGTTCTGGAAGGTCTTGTTGGAAAAGAGGAACCAAAGGTTTGACTCCTTAAGGCTTTCCACAAATTCTAGGAAGCCTAGACACAAAAAAAAGGTTTCACTCTACTTATCAACATTGTCAGAACAGGTTGCTTGCTCCTTAAGGCTTTCCACAAATTCTAGGAAGGAGTAAAGCCTAGACACACAAAAAAGGTTTCACTCCACTTATCAACACTGTCAGAACAGGTTGCTTGTTTGGAGCTTGCCTTTGCACCATCATACTCCCATGGGCTCCTTGTCAAGATCAGGACAGGACAGAACAGAACCAAGATGTTTCCTCTTAAACCCCTAATCAGATCCAAAAACCAGCAGTGGGAAACAGCAGGAAACACAGCAGCTTTAAGGAGGTGGATTTCCTGTGGGCTTTAGAATTTCTCCTTTACTAGGTAACAGAGACATAAAGTCTCCTTTGCACACGTGCTGGAAAGTTCATGTCGTAAAATGGAAGCTCCTTAGTAGCAGCACATTCCAGTGTCCTCTCTCCACTCCTACAGTAATTCTGGGATGCTACACAGCTAATAGTCAGCAGGCAATCCATGGGGGATAGGTATAAATACTGTACTACCCTGTGGGGGAACATTAGTTTATGCAGTTATTCCTGTACCAGAAAAGAACCCACTGGTCTCTTGTTATTGCTGAAACCTCCTACCATTAAGCCAGCTGTTTCCCAGCATTAGTTTTTTCACTTGTGTACATTAAAGTAAAACAAATTCTTCATCATCTTCTTCCAGTCACCCTCACAGTTCATAAAATCTGCTTGCCTTTGTGTGCATCTCTGTATCCAAAACAGATTTGGTGAGCAGCCCACTGTGAAGAATGGTGAAGACGTCCAAGTCTAATTCACGGAAATACATGCTATAACTCTGTATCTGCACCAAAGGCATTCCTCCTTCTTTATCTGGGGAGTCCTGGTAACGAAAGCATTAGTTAATGTGAGACGCTTCGGATATTAGTTTCAGTCAAAAGGAAAACTTAACATTTGATTGGCACTGCTTGTTGATTACACTTGACAAAGGAGATGAACAGATAATATATTGGGATTCAGTTTGTACTTCTCCTCTGTTGGACATTAAAGGAAGAAAGCCAAACAATAGTGGAAGTGACTGGTGCTTTTTCAGTAATGATAGAAAATGCTCTGAATGAAACAGACTGCATGAAAAAACAAGTCACCATGGGGATTTTCATCTGCATACGCTGCTAGTGTACTGCAACTCAGAAGAACGAATAAAAGGAAAAACAATGAAGTCACTGATTGGAAAAATCCTAGAAATCCCAAGATGGCTTTAACAAATCTGAAACATATTTTTCCCATTCCTGGTTATGGTCATTCCTCACTTACTGGATACAAGATATCCTTGTTCATTTGTACTATAGTATTTCTTGCATAACCGTCTGCATACAATTCTGGTCTATCAGATTTTCACAGGAGGATTATCCGTAATCAAGAATATTTGTACAACCTAAACTTTTACATCCACAGAACCCCAAGCTTCTTCTTCTTTTTAGGGTTCCTTTTGTGGACTTTTCATGAGAACGTTAAGATATACAAAACCTTGTCTAATTGGCTGGCCTCAGATTCAGGCTGATTGGGTTCTATGTTCTCCTCCAGTTGTGAGTTCTCTGAAGAGTTATTCTTGCTGCTATTGGGTTTTGATAGTTTTTGTCCTGAAAAACAAACAAACAGGTTTACTTGTATTTTTGAGATAAAGCACTCTTAGTCCCTTAACTGGGCAATTTTAAAATGTTCTAAATTTTAAGTGCATACGTATGGTAACTGATTTAATTATATTTTATTATTTGTAGTGCACTGTGTTTCAGTAAGCTATTTATAGCTTACTGGGTTTTTTAAAAAAATATATTGTAAGCAGCCTTGGGAGAAAGTAAATGAATAAATGGATGGATGGATGGATTTCACAAGTGGCATAGCTAGCTGTGTAGTCAGTTAACTGTGGCTAGTAAAATTCTGGAAGTACTGAAGTGGGGTATATCTTTTGGAAATTTATATAAGACTCCATGCAAATGCATTATTCATGCTACAGCATTTAATGAAACCCATGTTACGTACTGTCAAATCACTTCCAACATGCAGTGACCCTCATAAGGTTTGCAAACTATATGAGATGGTCAAGGAGTGATTTAGCGTTTCAACCATACAATGACTTTCCATGACTGAATAGGAATTTGAATCTGGATCTCTTGAGTCTTTGTCTAACACACAACCCACTAAAGCACACACATTCTCATCTCTTCAGAATACAGGAATATGAACTGAACATAGGTGAAATCTCAGAAATGTGTGATTTCTCTTTTTATTTGGTTTAGAAATGATGGTATAGCACACGTTTTCCACTTAGCCTTTAGTTTCATTGCTAAGTTATTTCTAGATGATAGTTTTAAGGTAGCAGGTTATACCACAATTCTTACTGTTTCAATGGTTTACATTTTTGTATGCTACTTAGAATTGTGAAACGATAAAACAAATATTCTTTAAATAAATTATTTCAACAAATAGGCCATTAAAAGAGGTCTCACAAAATTTCAGCTGATATTAGATTATTAGTAGTCAATATGGCTTTGTGGATAGAACCTTAGATGTGGGCCAGAAAAACTTGGGTTAAAATCCTCACTTAGCCATGCAGCTCCAAGCTGACTACTGGCCTAACTCTGGCTAATCTTACTTCAAATGGTTGTTGGAAAAGAGAGTTGACTAGCCTGCCTTTTCTCTCCAGAATAAAAATGCAGTAACTAATCTCATTGCTTGGGAAAATGGATGTACTTTCCACAGGAAAACTCAGAAGTTGACAAGCCTATTTAGAGTGAGCACAAGCAAAGGAACTTGAGAGGCAAACAGACATGATTAAAAATACAAAAATATAAGTGGTGCAATGAAAATAGGAAACCGCTCTTTGCAACAGAACAGAAGAATATAAACATATATTGCAAGAAGAAAATTTGAAAACCAAAGAAAGAACTACTTTCCACACATACTTTTGCTTAAGTTTATTTAGGGAGATGCAACACTTCAGAAGTAAAGCACATAAAGAATGCCATGGGTTCAAACTCTGGTTTATGTCTGAGCTATCTCTGACTACAAATCCACCTGCAACTGACTTTACTTTATAAAATATCCTCAACAATGTAAGGAATGGTACATGTAACCTTTGCTCTTCTTTTTAGAGGCACCAGCGGTATTGACAACAGGTATTCCTTCCGAAGTTTCGGAATCAAAATTTGCAGGAGGAGGAATATACCCAGGGTTTGCTGAAATAAACAATATCAAAGGAAAGCAATTCAGTTAACCAGACTAAAGTAAGCTTCACATACTATTACATTCCTACAGAAAAAGGTGCATAAAAAATGAACACACAGCCTCAGCGCTCATGCCAAGAGCATGCTCTTGCTGCATAGCACAGTTTAACTGAAAACACAGATTCTGGGGGGAAATCTTATAAAAATTAATGAAAGCAGTTTGTTATTATCTCACAGAGATTGTGGTTCAGAAGACAAAAGAGGAAGTGAGAGATTTCAATGAAGCACCATTCACTGTCCTAGCATCAAGTCTGGGTCACATCTTCATGGTAGGTTACAGGTGGGTTTAATTCCAGCGAGGCAGGCGGATGTAAAATAGACTAGAGGTGAAGTCAGAAATTAGATCAGGTAAATAAAGATCAAAGGCAGGAGTATAATCAGAAGGTGGGATGCTGGTTGGTACTGTAATCAGGACAGCAGTCGAAGGTGTGTGGGAAGTCAGGCACAAAGCAAGGTAATTGGTGTTACTGTTCCATTGCATGAGTTGCTCAGACTGAGACAGCCCCTAATGATTTGCCAAAGTACACACAACTACCTGAAGATGGAGAAGGAGAAGCTACACCTCTGAGAGTGAGTCAATAGCACTTGGGGGCTGTCTCCATGGTGCAAGGAAGAAGGCGGGCCAGGCTCTGTTGCTTCCTTCTGCATGTGAGCCTCCCAGTGTCTTTATAGCTAAAAAGAATCATCTGGCAGGTACCAGATGCTCTGTCTCCCCAACCCCCATTGAGATGTGTGTAGTTTTGTCCATGCTCACCTGCTAGATGTTTTTCCAGCAGACTCTGTAACTCTGTAATGTTCTGTAACCGGGCCAAAACTCTTCCTTTGATCTCAGGATCTTTTTGTTGGCAGAAGGCATTGACAACCTTGAGAAGGAAACTGCATTTATGAGTCCTAGGCAGAGACGTCTCCTTTTCTAGCAACTTGGCCTTTTCCAGCATTGGGGGGGCCCTAAGGATTTTCCCCAAAGCTGATGCATGTTTGCTGATCCTTCCAGATCAAGTGGGAGAGACTTCTCAACAAAACTTTATCTTCAAAAAGCATAAAGCACAACCTTCAGCCCCGAAGGGTCATGTCAATTGTAACAGGCATGCCTACTCTCTCTCACTTGCCATGAAAGACGTATGCATGGGCTGCAAGGGAAAGTGGATGGGGTGCTCCACATTTCGAGGGCTGCACAGGGAACAGTACAAGGTCTCAAACTGTGCACCCCTGCTCTAAATGATTGTGCACTTTGGGCCTTTTGCTCAGTTCTAGATGGGACTCCTGTCAGCAGTTTGTACAGTATTATAAGACGCTACCTACCTGCAGCACTACTTACCTCACGGAACCAGTTAAGGGCATAAAATAAGAGTGAGCAAAGGAATTCGCGTTCTTGCTTTGACAAGGAGTCTAACTTTCCTCCTACTTCCAGGTTGGTCAGATATAAAGGGCACACTGTGATCGTATATGGCAAAAGAAAAGATATTGGCAATTAAGCCCATTTCCTTCTGTTCAGCATACTGGAGAGACCCACATCTCTTATATTCACACGGGCTAATCAGGGCCCTTCCCTTTCCCAAAAAAGAGAGTGTGAACAGTTTGAAGTCCCTGAAAAAAGGGCCCATCCCCAGCTGGTCAATTAAATAAATAAAAATAAAATAAATAAAATGTAAAACTCAATCTTTTGCAAGGGGCAGGAAGAATAAAACAGCCAAAAGTATTACTAAATTACAAATATCTTATCGTTGTTCTGGGTTTTTCGGGTTCTTTGGCTGTGTTCTGAAGGTTGTTCTTCCTAACGTTTCGCCAGCCTCTGTGGCCAGCATCTTCAGAGGACTGGAGTAGTACGTGGCCCACCAGATTATTCTTTGTCTTATATGATACTCATCCACCAGAGCACAGCGTGCTACTCCTGTTCTCTGAAGGTGCCGGCCAGAGACTGGCGAAACGTTAGGAAGAACAACCTTCAGAACACGGCCAAAGACCCCCAAAAAACCCACAACAACCATTAGATCCCAGCCGTGAAAGCCTTTGCGAATACAAATATCTTCCTCACAATTTGCCTCAGTATGACAGCTGCAAAGTCCCAATCCTTCAAATAATTTGCGGGTACGAGTGAGATCAGAGAGAAATAACTGCCCATATCCTGTACCTAATAAGGCATCGATATCCTCCAAATTCCCATTATTCAGTTCCGATACGCAGAGCCTGAGCAGGCGAAAGAATGGCGACAGGCACAATGGAGACACGAGCCTAGGAAGAGAGGAGAGGCGAGAGCATCGTAGCTACACCACAAGGAAGTGGACCAGCGATGCAGAATTATGGCAGCTGTGGCCCACCAGATTATTTTTGTCTTACACAACACCCATCCACCTAGCTAAGGGTGAGGGAGTGGAAGCTGTAGTCTAACAGGGCCTGAAAAAAACACAGTTGCCTGCCCCTAGATTATAAAAAAGGAGTGTAACTCTCTCGTCTAGAAAATGTTTTGTCATCAATCCTCCTCCTCCTCTCCAGCGAGTGCCAGGAAAAAAAACCCCGTAGGAAACTCTGGAGAGCCACTGTCAGTCTGTGCAAAGGACGGACCAGTGGCTGAATGGACCAATGATTTCAAGGTGGTGCAGGAAGCTTCTTAGGTTCTCATCTGGTTCTTCCTACCAAATAAAATATGGCCAGTTTTGAAAATTTACCAAATTTCTGTGCTCACGTAATTTCTCCTCCCACATGAATCGAAAATCTTTGATCCTACACCTGATAAAGAAGGGCTGGTATAATAGGGAGGGGGGCATGTATTGATAGAACTAGAGATACAACTGTTGTGAGCTGCCGTAAGAGACAGCACTCCATTTTGAGAAGACGTCGTTGTTCACAATTGTCCTTCTCTCTCCTTGAGTCTCCCTTTGTCTTTGGAGTTTAACAAAGCTGCCTGCATATTTCCTTCAAAACTGTTTTAGCTTGGCCTGAGGAGGTGGCAGGAGTGGAGAATTCTATTATTCCACTCCAATTACAAGATTTCACACCAGAGGTACCTCTTATGTCTTATATGGCATTGGGATAGAGGAGGGAGGAGGACAGCCAAGCGTGGCCTTGAGTTCACTGAAGGAAAGGTGAGATAATAAACACCCGTGTTCTCTTATGGGCTGGGAGAGTCTCTTCTAATCTCTGTAAGAAAAGAGAAGTATCGTTACCTTTTTTCTTTGCTTTTTGCTGCTATTTCATCCACATTGTTACATAGATAGTTCTGGGACAGCAGAGGCAATAAGTTTATAGCAATTGTGGCCTCACTCTCTTCCTCTTCTAAGCAATACAGGGCTTTTACTGGGAACAGGAATGCACTGCAGAGGAATCAAAGGTCAAGTCAAGGTCATGGCTGTCATAATTGCATTCTTATTTAGGAACATTTTCTGAAATACCTGTCCTCTGTAGCGACAAGATCTGTCACAAAATCGCCCTCAAAGTCCTTGGCCACACTATTCCCCATCCATTCCTACAGGAGAAAAAAACATTCCACAGAACTAGTTTTACAAGAGGTAGCCATGTCAATCTGTGCTGGTGTATCAAGCAAAACCCAAAGGGGAAAAAAAATAAGAAAGACAAAAACCTTGTGCCACTTTAAAGAATAACTCTTATATTTGAATGTGAGGTTTCATGGACAAGTCCACTTCTTCAGACATATTAGTAAAATACAGAATTCACACATTAAAACCTTCATGCCTGGCTTGAAGATACAGTTATGTATGGTTGCATTTCACGATGCAATAATTTACCACCTATGTTTGGTGTTCAAGCAGTAAACAGTGAATCCACAGAAGGAATAGGAAAAAGGAAGTGAGCATGAAGAGGCACAGGAAAAACATTTTTCAGAGGCCCTCTCTCTTCACTTTAAACTCTCGTCATTGAGTAACTCTCTCTCCCCCTCCCTCTGGCTCTATAAGGTAAAAAAGTGGTGTGCTGCAAAATATAACTGGCCTGATATGTAACCTGAACTCTGGACAAGAAGCTTCTGCGTGGACTAAATGTGCAGAAATGGAATGGGTTCCCACTGGCAAAGATGTCAGAAAAGGGGGTATTTTATCTCCCTATGTATTCAATTTACATGCAGAATATATTATATGAATAATTGGATTAGATGCAGATGGAGAGAGACTGAAAATTAGTCAAGGAAATAACAACACTTTAAGTTATGCAAATTACATCATATTACTGATAGAAAAGAGCAATGACTTGAAACACCTACTAGGGAAAACTTTTGGGTTTGATTCATTTCAGATTCTTTCAGGGGATGTCTCATTCGTTTTCAGATTTTTCATTTCATTTTATTATTTTATTTTATTATTTGACTGGTTTATTTACCATATATGTTGTAAACCACCCAGAGTGGCCTTGGCCAGATGGGTGGTATAAAAATGAAACAAATAAATAAACACATTTACTAGTCTTTGCACTAAACGCAAAAAGGACCAGCTCTTTCAGATTCTTTCAATTCATTCCCCCCCTTAATGTGCTTTCCCCCTCCCTCCACAACCACATGGAAGGGAAAGCGGACCAGCTCTTTCAGATTCTTTCAATTCATTCCCCCCCCTTAATGTGCTTTTCCCCCTCCCTCCACAACCACATGGGAGGGAAAGCAAAATTTGACACACACGCACACGCACACGCACACACACTGTCTCTCTCTCAAATTTCATAACACGTACACTTAGGACTTCATACTATAGAATATGCAGACTTGCTCTAGCAAACAATAGTTTGTTTCAGATTCTTTCAATTCATTCCCCCCCCTTAATGTGCTTTTCCCCCTCCCTCCACAACCACATGGGAGGGAAAGCAAAATTTGACACACACGCACACGCACACGCACACACACTGTCTCTCTCTCAAATTTCATAACACGTACACTTAGGACTTCATACTATAGAATATGCAGACTTGCTCTAGCAAACAATAGTTTGATAAATACACACGATCATTTGCAAATTATCTGCAACAAGAAGGAACCACTGAACAGTTGGGCATGCAAGGTCAGAACCAGTTCTGTAGTAGTTCTCTGTATCCTACCAGGATCTGCAAATCCAGATTCCCTTTCTGAATCAAACTGGCAAGCTCATCATAGTACAGAGCCAAGGCTTCAGAAACCTGCCCACAGCAGGAGCACACCAATTCCAACAAAGATGTAATCTGTAGGGTGGGAAAAAGCAGCAGTAGCAGAATAATTACTCAGGCACGATGAGAATCACTCCACAAAAATTCACACATAGCCATCAAGTTTTGAATAAATTAATCTCCCTCAAAGCACCTTCAGTCAAAGGAAAGTCACTCCCTCTAAGCAGATTATTCCCATTTGCACCAGCCTGGGTTGTTATGTGCTCTGAAGTTGCTTCCAATTTAGGGTGATCCTACAAATAAATGTAAGATCTGGCGTGCTCTGGTCCATAGGGTCACGAAGAGTCAGACACGACTAAACGACGACACATAAATGACCTCAAAAAGCTCCTAACATCAATACCCCTTGAAAGGTCTTGAAATGTTAAAGACTGTGGGAGTGGGAGTGGTTCCCCATTTAACCATCTCATGTTAGGTCTTCTTCTTTTCCTACTACGCTCAGCTTCTCCTAGCATTATTGTCTTTCCCAGCCAATCTTATCTTTTCAAGATATGTCCAAGATATGATATCCTCAAAGAGAACTGCAACTTGATTTAATGCTCACATATTAGTTTTTTCAGCAATTTGTGGCATCTAGAAAGCTCATCTCCATCATCACATATACTTGCCTGTCTACACTGGTCCTTGCTCAGTTGTGGCCGTTCCAGGATCTGCCCATTTTCTTTACTCCTGAAATTAGATGCATTTATTAATTCTGTTTGACTAGCTGGGTAGCCATATATACAGTTTCTCATTCTGAGCCAGAGAGAGATCCACTTTCTGGGAGTTTTAGTTCAAGAACACCTAGGGACCCAAGGTTTCGGAACCACCAGTCTAGAACTAAGTAAAAGAACAAAGTTGCACATTTCTTCCCCCTTGCTCACCTCTTTGCCGCCATACTGCCCACCATAGTAACGGCACCAATAATCCCAATACGCTTATACTTGGGAATAGTGCTAGAAAGTTGCTTTCTAATCACCATGTGCATATCATCCTGCAAGGAAAGAGAGGGAACAGGGAGTTAGGGAGAGAGAGATGCATTATACTACTAAATTACAGGGGAAGCCTAAAGGTGAAGCCTAAGGCACCACAGGGTTGTCAGTGCATGCAAGAACAAATGTCTTTCAGGATTTCTGCTTTGCAAATGAGGCTTGCTTCAGGCCTGGAACTTCTACTGCTAGTTCTTCTTCTTGAAGTGCAATATGCTAGCATTTAACTGCAATTGCACTTGGGGGGGGGTGACCCTTGATTGTGAGGAGGGGGAGGGAAGGTACAGAACAAATGCTGTGCTAACTAATGAGGATTTGGTTCTCTCAAGCATTGGGAGAAAGATCACTTGCGCAACCATAAATTGAACTGAAACAGATCCACAAGAAAGAGGAGCTCTGAAGATGTCTTGTCGCATAATTTTTTAAAAGAACCTAGAAGGCAGCACCCACATGTAAAAGCGTACTGTGTTGTAAGGATTCCCTCCGAAGGATCCCTAAACAGTGAATTGTCAAATAAACAAAGACACTCTTTGGTCTACTTCAGGTTGTACATAGGTCACTGGATGCACAAAAGTTTTACGCACTTTAAAGATCAGCAAGCTCTATTTGGAAAATGAGCAAATAAACAAACACTGTTAATCTTAAAGGTGTCACAAGACTGCTGCTTTTCTTGCAACAGACTAATGTAGCACCAGAAACCAACCGTCCAGAATTTGGTACATGGCAACACAGTGAATCCAGACTCATTTTATGAAATTCCAAAATTCCAGAGAACTATGGAGTCAGATCAATGGGTTGCTATTATGAACTAAGGAACGTGTCTTCTTTTATATTACCAGAGAGTGGCAATACTCAGCAAATTCTGGCCATTCGCCGTTAGCACATGTGTGACAATCTTATTGATATCAATGACATACAGATATCTGTAGCTGTACAAAAGACTAACCCCCCCGCCGGCCCCGGATTTCAGTGGCTAGACTCTATTTTTTCACTCACTTGAATGTGACTGCTCTTGTGCCCCTGGCTGAATGCCAACACACTAAGAATGTGGAACAGCTTTCGTATTTGCTGTGGACTTAAATTATCCATATAATCCAGAATGCTCTTAAAAAAAGAAAGGAAAAAAGGAAATATCAGACAAAATGCTCAGTTTCTTGAAGATATGTTAGCTCATACCAGAAGAGACACACTGGAATGCTTAGACCACCGTATTCTAAGAGGCTTGAAGAAACATCTGGCACGGGTGAAAATTTAAATTTCCCCTTTATAGGAAGTGTTTGTTTTACCTCTTCTTCTAACAAAACCCCTTCATATATTTCTCACATGGTTGGGCTTTCAAAAGTTAAGCTGTTCAGCTATCATGTCAGAATCAAAGTTTCCCAACTTCAGGTCAGGATTACCTTTAGAAAGACTGAATACGGAGCGAGGGAAGACGTGTGCAGACACACCAGGTCAGTGAGCATATCCAGAGAGAGATCGACTTCAACACCGTTGCCACCACATGCGTGTGTGACCAAGGCACCCACAATCTCCTGAAGGAGAGAGAGAGAGGCTAAAGAAAGGGAAAAGAAAAGCACTCATGATCTAGCCAACCTTTGCTTAGGCAACAATGCCACGGAGCCACTAGGTTGCCAGCCACTGAGGAGACACTGAGGCTCAGTCAAAAGCTACGATGTCCTTTGATTCTCCAGAAGCAGCCACCACAAGGCTTGAGGGAAATACTTCAGTGCTAAGCCATTGAGTACACAGGCATTGAGTACATACAAGGAGGTATGTGCACATGTATGTGCACATGTATGTGCATTCTCACTTTTCAGCCCAAAAGAGAATGAAACAGGGGTTTCATTTGTTTGTTTGCTTATTTATTTAGACTTTTACCAGATCCATCTAGTGGCCAGGGTTGTCACTCTACCTGTTGGCAATAGGAGTCGAAAGCTGTGAACGCTTGCTTGTACAGACAGCTTCCAAAGGAAACAACGCAGGGGTCTGCTGAGTGCACACAATTCTCAGCCAGTGAGAGTACAGCTGGAAAGAGATCTCTCATAACCTGGATGAAGACAGAACAAAAAAACTAAAGCCCAAGGCTTCAGATTCATACTTGTAATACCCTTCCAAATTTCCATCAGACAGAAAAGGTAACCTACAATTCACAGCCCAGATACAATCAATGCCACATCTTAGGTAGATAACTTAACAAGCCGTGGAGATATAGACAAACTAAAGAGGCTTGCAGATATGAATAAACAAAATTATCCCAGAGGGCAGAATGACGAGAAAAGAAGTGAGGACAGGGAAGTTTCCTCTGATTGAGAGAAGACAACACGGTCTAGTTCTAACAAGAGGCAGTTGTCTTCCAGAAGAATTAAAGAAGTGTGCCTAAGAACATCTCTCCTGCTAATAGGTCCCAGATTCTAGGAAAGATACAAAGAATTTCACTGAGTGTGGCTTTGTGGAAACCAACAGCACTGTGAATCCGATCATCATGTAGAAGAGTTGGTACTTCCTCCAGGAGAACCAGCCATCATGTGGGGAGAGCTGGCACACTTTTCTGCATTTGAAGTCACCCCACTATCACAGAGGTTGCCTCTATATAGTAACTGCTTCACTCTGATAATCCCTCTCCCTGAAGGTCTACACCTGTGTACAAAACTGAGTGGAGAAAGTACGCATGGTGTATATGTAAACCCATGAATGGCTATTCAGTTTTTACAGTAGATGGTTGAATAATGCAGTTGTTGTCAACTTTTTGGCACTCCAGATGCTCCGGCCCCTTCAACTCCACGAGTCACTGACAGACTGGGGGTTCTGGTGGCACGGGCAGAGCCATAGGTTGAGAACCACTGGGACAGAGCATGGTCGCCAGCACTGCTCAGCTGCACAGCCGCTCCACGACTTACCAGAGAGTGGGATCGGAATGCATTCCGCAGCAGCTGTTCTGGCATGTAACCCAGCCTAATCTTGTTCCTCAGCACTCTCTCAATTGGCTTCTTGCTCTTGGCATTCGTAGTATAGATAATTAGCAGCACGATCAGATCCAGAACCTTTTTTTTCCAAGCAAAGCAAATAAGCTGATTATGCAAAAATTACTGTCCAGCAAGATGGAAGAATAAGAATCAGACAAGGAAATTTTTTAAAAACCAGACATGTTCACATAAAATGGAATGTGTGCTATTTTGCACAGAATCCTTGGGGATAGGGGGGGAAATCTCAAAAATAGCAAGTTCCTGGTGTTCATGAATTTGATTGATGATTCAATGCACACAGCTAGAGGCAGGTTACTATAGGCAGAAAAACATCCATGGTTAAGTCAGAAATTCATTCCTAAAGCTTACCTTCCTGTCCTAAATAATTTCATATCCAGAACAATTTCTTTGCAGGGAGCCTACTTCTGCAAACAATATTTCTTTTCTTTTCTTTCTTTGCAGTAGAAGAACTAGATAAAATATTTCTATACAAATGTGCACACTTTTAAAACAGTGCCTAAAAAAAACACAATCTGACAAGTGACCAAGTCATAATTCTACACCCTTATCTAGAGAGCCAAAAGAATGCCTCTGCTATTATAACCACAGACACACCAAAGATATGGCCAAGAACTTTTGGATGTCATATAGGGATGAACAGATAGGCTGTTCTTTTGGCCAGCCCCATTTCCAGTGATGGCTTTGAGCAATGAGAAAAATTTACTGTGAAGACTGAGGTACTAGGATAACTCTCGTCTATTAGACGTGAAGGCAGCAATACAGGGTAGCATTAGCATGTTCTCTGAGCTCAGAAATGGCAGCTGTATAGTACTGAAATTGTGGTATTGAAATTTTCAAAGTGGAATGCTATGAAGGAAACACCTCCCACCAATTAATACATCTAAAAATATGATGCTAAGTGGGAAATAACTATTGCAAACTAAAATAGGGTATTACCTTATGGTCAGAAGCAGAAGAAACATCCTCAATAGCCTAAAACAGAAGAGAATGCCAAAGAAGCAGTTGCCAATGTTGTACAGTTGTGTACATTAAGTGACTTATAAAAACCATCCAAAGAGCATCAAATACCTCCTAAGCTTGATTCCAATGTTCACATTAAATCTTTCTACAAATCTGACATAGACAGAACAGTTTCTCCAAATATCCCATGATCCTAAGATAAAGGTTGCACTTTGGCTTCCTTCACTTACTCTATTTTTAAGTCATCCAATAACTTGAGTTCTCTGGGTGCTTTAAAATGCATGAGTACATACCTAAAATACTAACAATCAAACGATAAAGAGAAACACACAATAAAATCAAGATAAAGCTGTCGGCAAAGAGTAAAAGCACTGGAGCACATGAAACAAAGTAAAACAAGTGGGACAATAGAAAAGCGCTATGAGCTAAAAACACACACACAAAAAAACAGTTCTTAAAATCCCCGGGACAATAGAAAGCTTTGCCTTGCATGATAATTATCGTAACTCAAACACCAGTCAAGTTAGGAACGCATTGAACAAAGTTCAATGCGTTTCTATGGCTTTTTTATTTCCGTTTAGCGATGTTTTCGCATAGCGAAGGTTAATCCGGAACGGATTAACCTCGCTATGCGAGGCACCACTGTACTTTGGCTTCCTTCACTTATTCAGTTTTTAAGTCATCCAATAACTAGAGTTCTCTGGGTGCTTCAAAATGCATTAGTACATACCTAAAATACTAACAATCAAACGATAAAGATAAACACACAATAAAATCAAGATAAAGCTGTCGGCAAAGAGTAAAAGCACTGGAGCACATGAAACAAAGTAAAACAAGTGGGACAATAGAAAAGCGCTATGAGCTAAAAACACACACACAAAAAAACAGTTCTTAAAATCCCCGGGACAATAGAAAGCTTTGCCTTGCATGATAATTATCGTAACTTTTCTAGAGACAACATTCCCCAAAGGAGAATTTTTAAGAAGTTCTCTTTCTTGCACCCACATAGCTTCATCAGATGATGGTGTAGAGAACACCAGACCAGAGGTGGCATACCAAAGGTTCATCAAGGGGTGATACTGATTAAGGAACACAACATGACAGCCGCTCTGGTTTAAATCTGTTTCTTTGCAGTAGTATGAACATGAAAGTTGACTTAGCAGCAAGGCCTTCGGCCGATAGCATCCTCTCCGATCTTTAAAGAACACCAGTCTTTCCGGAAGACACACATAAACTCTAAATGCAACAAAGCCATCTTTCACATACAATTTATCACACAGAGGCTAAAATCCAGTAGGATGTCATAACTAGAATAGGTCCATTGAATCAGTGGCGAATCAACTCCTTCATAAGTTCCTTTAACTAGAATAGGTCCATTGAATCAGTGGCAAATCAACTCCTTCATAAGTTTCTCTAATTCAATGGGCCTTCTCTAGTTGTGACTTACTACTGAATTTCAGCTAGAACAAAATATATTTTGACATTTTGATAAAGATTAAAATATAACCTAGTTCGATGAAATGTCACAGACCCAGACAGCCATAGAAAACAAGCCTGACCTTAATCCAGCCTTCTGAAACGGTCTTCTCAAATTTTACAGCTGACTTTATTACTTCAAAAAGGAGCTTCACACAATCCTGGTTAATGTTCACTTGGCTTGCTGAAAGACTGAAAAGAAGAATAGCAGTGGGAGTTCCTCTGTCACTTTAAGGGCAAAGCAGGTTTACTGGGGGAAGAGTCATCTCAATATTAGTACCTTGTTTCCCTGAAAATAAGACAGGGTCTTATTTTTTGCTCCAAAAAACGCATTAAGGCTTATTTTCAGGGGATGTTTTATTTTACAGTCATGTCGTCTTCTGGTTGCTACACAATGGTGGAAGGCGGGCTTTCACTTAACTAGGGCTTATTTTCGGGATAGGGCTTATATTACGAGCATCCTGAAAAATCTTACTAGGGCTTATTTTCGGGTTAGGTCTTATTTTCGGGGAAACATGGTACCAATTGCACAGAAAAGGCATTGGTAGAGTTAAGATATTGCAATGTTAAAAGGAAGCAATGAAATAATGACTTAACTAAAGCAAGGCAGGACAATCCCATGTGCCCCAGGACCTCAGGGAGTGCTGGGCAAGGGACTGCACGTGTGCTTATGTTGGGTACATATGTTTCCTACCACCAACTCATATTTCAGTGCACAGAAGTTGGAAGGTTTAAATTCCTCCCCCCCATCTGCACCAACTAAGATCTAGAGAGGGAATCATCTGTGGTAGAGTAGATTAAAAACGTCCTCACTGTTCCATGATTCCAGTCAAGGTTGTTGTTCTTTTGTGGAGGTTGAGGCCTTTCCCCTCTCCAGAGGTACAGACCATGAGTGCTGTCCCAGGGCTGGTAACTACAGAACTAGAAAAGACACTTTTCCCTCCATGACTGTCCAAATGGAGGTTGATCAAATGGGCTGCAGGGAAAAGCGGATGGACCTTCCCAGTCTTTAAAAGCCATTACACAGAGCGGCCAGGTATCATATACAAACCTTGTCTGAGGCTGGCTCTTGAGCTTGCTCTGGGAAGCCTGAATCCGTGGAAGTGAAACACATGAGTCCAGGTCCACCTTCTTACGAAGATCAGAAAGTACCTGCAGAGGAGCCATGTCTATATGTGGGCATCTCTCACAGAGATGGAGAAAGCTACTTTTTGGAATGACAGTTATCCAGGGAGTGGGGCAATTTTGTCAAGCCCTTCATTCACTCTTCTTGCCTTTTAAAGATACAGTACTTTACCTCTATCGCATCAGCAGCCTTGATAGAACGGAGAACAAATTTAACTACCACAGGCAAATCTTCCATTTTAACAGCAGACACTGTAACCATGACAGATTGACGAACCTGGGGGTGGGGAGAGCAGCACATTGTTCCGCGGTCGGAGTGGGAAGAAGCAAGGGCATTAACTTAAATCTATTTGGACTTCTTGCTTAGAACACAGCAGAATACTAGCACATCTTAAGAAAAACAGCCTGTATAATCTCAAATCCTCAAAACTCCGAAGAACCATTAAAAGCTATCAAATATTGTAGGAATTTCGTTCTCGAAGGCTTTCACGGCCGAATCCTATGGTTGTTGTGGAGTTTTCTTACTGTTTGGCCGTGTTCCAGAACATGGTCACACAGCCCGAAAAACCCACAACAGCCATTGTAGAAATTGTTCAGAACCTCTTGAAAATGCTCAGGAAGCTCTCTAGAGACTTCCAAAGCCGTGGTTTAGGCATCTGGTTCTGGAGCCAGAGGTTGGGAGTTCGATTCTCCACTGTGCCTCCTTAACAAGGGCTGGACTCAATGATCCATAGAGTCCTTTCCAATTCTTAAGTTTTAAGATGATGATGATGATATAGCACACACTGGTTCTCAGTGAGCCTTTGCTTATAGATGTAGCGTACAGATGCAACCATTGGGGAGGAGTTCTCATCTGATCTGAGAAGGCAGTATTTCCAGCCTTGGTAAACCTTGCTCCTATAATTTCTTTTAAGGTTTCCATGCTTACCCTAAAGGACTGGGCATATTTATCTGCAAAGAAGAACCTGAACTATGAGCTTAAGTAGCTCAGGTACCTTGCTAGTGAGCTCCTCCTCTTAATATAGGACTTCTTACCTCAGACAGGAGTCCCGAATCAAGATTCAAACTGGAAAGAGCATCCAGGATTGGAACAGTTAGCTCAGTCTTCTCCTTTAACAAAGAACTAAAATATAGGAAAAGCAAATATGCTTTACATTTACAGTACCAGCTAAAGCAAAAATTACATGGAGAGTGAAAGAAAGAACATGGCAGCACAAACCGTACCTAAGCTCTCTAGCAATTTCACTATGCTGGGCATCCTCCAGGATTTCTGGCAAACTTGTGATAATGTCATGTTGGATTGGTGGAGGAGAAACGCAAATCATCTGCATGATTGTCAATACAAGATCCTGCAGATGACAAAAGCATTGAAAGACAGAGTATGCAAAAAGCAGATTTCCTTAAAGCTAAGCACTTGCATTCCTTGCTTACAAAGAGTACAGGAAATGCATATTGACTGGAAATCTAAGCCACTCATTTATTTATATGTTACATATTGCCACTATAACATTTTAGCATGCAAAAAATTTGAAATTGTTATTTCTTTTGCCTGCACATTTCCATTTACAGACATAAAACCGGACCTGAGAGGGAATAGCTTGGCTCAGCTTATTGCAGAGCAGGGCTATGAAATCTGCCCACTAGATTGCAGGAGCCTTGATTAAATAAACAACTCCTCTCTTCCTTACTGAATATTCATGTAGCACCTGCAACGTACTGACTGCTGACATCATAGGGAAGAGGTGTGTTCACAACAACATGCAGCGCCATTGTATTTTGTATACAAAGCCCTGATTTAAGACAAAGAGAAACAGTGATCCTCAGTTGTTGTTGTTTAGTTGTCAAGTTGTGTCCGACTCTTCGTGACCCCATGGATCAGAGCATGCCAGGCCTTCCAGTCTTCCACTGCCTCCCGGAGTTAGGACTAATGATCCTCAGTACATACCAGCTTTTGTAAGAGAGAGCTCTCCATTGTTATCACTATTAAATGTACATTTTTAGGCCAACCTATAACATTTTGATCACTTGGTCACAACTTTAAAATTGCTTTAAAACTATTAATTAGCCAGATCAGGTTCCTGTTTCTATTAGAAATCAAATCAATCAATAAGTAAAGGTAAAATAAACTAATTACATAAGCTTTTTTTTCCTGGAAGATTTTCTGTGCACATGAACTCTTACCTAGAAACGAGGTGCTGGAATCAGTTTTCCCTCACTATTCTATGCCCAACAAGGTGGAAGCTCAGTGGTAGATCCCATTTTTTGCATGTAGAAGGCCCCAGGGTTCAGTCCTTAGCACCTTCATGTACAGACGGGAATGACTTATTTGAGAGCTTGGGAAGCAGCTGCCAGTCAGTGTTCGATAGAGGACACTGAACTAGATGGAGCAGATTCACACTTGCGTAAGTGACTGCATAGTGCCTGATGTGGTGAAGCTTCTAACATGTGATTCAAAATGTGTGTATTTTGAATAAATACAAAATACTTTCTACAGCCTTAGACTGTAAACTGCAGGTCTGAATATCTATTTAGCAGATTGCTAATGCTCATTAACATTAAATAATAGCCATAATCCTACTAGTGTATGTATAAGGTTTGCATAACTTGCTGCGGCTAATTGTAGCTAAATGATAAAGTGCTGGCCCAACTGGGTGTGTGACTAACCAAGATACACCCTGGCACCTCATCAATTAGCAACAATCAGCTGTGGGAAATTTGATAAAACCTTACGCAAACACCAAAACAATTCTGGCCTTAAAAATCAGAATATTAATTGGATGCCACTGATGTAGTAGGCTGTGGGCCAAAAAACATTATGCTGACTAGAACTTGTTAGTTTTTCAGGTGCCACCAAGGCTCTTTGTTGTTTAGGCTACTAAAAAAGTGCATGGGTTGTACTTGCCTTACTATCTACTATCCTGTCAAGCCATTTTAATTGACTGATGATGAGTCGAGGCAAATTGAGTCCATCACTGCCCACACTAAAAGATCAGAAAGACAAAGAGTGGAGAAAACAGGTCAAACATAACCACTGATCCTCTTTATGAAGGCTCCCTCAACAGAACACAGCTGCTAAGGATCGTGCTCATTCCTCTCTAGAAAAAAATGTCATTTATTAAGAAATACAGTTTATGTTTCAATTTCTTCTGGAGAAAAAGGGATTTTGTTATGCCTTATGAATAAGCTACTTTAAGAGGTGAGTTGAATAAGAGAGTGAAACATTCCGCTCTCAGGCCATGCAACAGACCTAGTCTCGGCATCAACAGCTTGTCCTAGTCCATTTATTCAGTCTGCCATCTAAACTTTGCTTTGCATGGCAGACAAGAACGCAGATCGCAGAATCTAGAGCATGAATCATCTACAATAATCTCTCAGGGTCTTGCTCAAAGTGTTTATTAAACTACTTCATGGTGTTTTCTTCTTCCTTCATGTATGCCAGTGAAATCCAATTTAAGAGATTTCAGACATAATTGAAAAGAAACTGCTAGAAAGTTCACAATAGTTAATATTCCAAGTTAAAGTATCAGAGTACATACCTTTCATGAAAAAATTCAGGGAGTTTTTCAAATAGCAGCCTTATAACAGGAGGCTTCAGAAAAAGACAAAAATGGAAGTGTTTTCAGACAACTGCATTTGTGGTGAAGTAGCATACTTTGCACACAGCATTATAGTTCCAAACCCATCACTCCCATAATATAAGGAAAACAGAGTAAGCATCACCAGTACACAAAAACAGTGTAAATATCTACAAGACAAAATATATTATGGCTCCCTCTTTGAAGGGGAAAAGTGTGTGTGTGGGAACTTAGAACTCTAATTCATCAAGCAGGAGTGGGAAATGTGTGACCCTCCAGATGTGGTAGGACAAATTGTAATCACCCTTCACTGCAAATATGCTGGGCAAAAGAAGTTGAGAGCTGGAATCCAACAACAGCTGGGAAACCATAGGTTTTACATTCCTGGCGAAGAATCAGTTTCAATCCATTCAATTTGGAGGAATAAATTATGAACTTTTGGAAATATGGGATGACACAACAGAGTACAAGGCAATTTAATATCAATTAAATATATATAACAGCATTCTCAAGATTTCATGGCCTTTCATCCAGCTGCAAAAATAAACATCACTAGATAAAGCTGTCCCCTGCTACTCTGATCCTACTCCCATTTTCTGAGCGTGAAGAGGTTAGACAATGGTGATCCCACAAACCGTTGTGGTTCTCAACCATGGCTAACCAAGGTGTTCTTGGATTAAAACTCTCAGAAGCCTTTACCACTAGCTATGTTGGCTGGGATTTCTGGAAACTGCAGTCCAGGAACAACTGAGTTACTCAAGGTTGGGAACCAATAGCATAGACACGTTTATAAGAAGTAGTAAACAGGATCATAATTAAATAATTTCCCTTCCAACTCTCACTAAAAAAATCTTTCCCAGATCTAACACATAGATGGTATAGGGCAGTTTATTTTGTCCCATTCTACATAAACAAGTTTCTAGGAAAGTGCCCAAACCAGATCAAGAGACATAACATCTATAACAGCCCACAGCTTTTTGATGTTCGTAACAACCCACAAATGTGGTTACCTGGTTGCCACTCTCAACTGCCATTCCTACAGATGCCTAGAACAAGAATCCTCTAATCCTCCTTCTCCATAAACTACAGAGAATTCAGAGAATGATGGAGTCCTTCAACCCCACACCAGAAAGCAATAAAGGATAGGGTTTGTTCTTTTGCTTTATGCTGGACTTTTGTGGGGGGAGAGTTGCAATAAAAGCAACTCTCCCCACCCCAATCTCTTGAACTCAGAATAAACTGAGGCGATCTCCAAGTTCGAGTGCCTTCTTTTTTTTAGAATTGTCTGTTTTCGTTGTTTATATTATCTTTATGGTTGTTAGCCGCCTAGAGTGGTCCGTTTGGACCAGATAGGCGGGATATAAATCAAATAAATAAATAAATAAATAAATAAAGATCAGTGGAAAAGAGAAGGCTGTATCTCAGTGCTAGAGCACATGGTTGGCATGCAGAAGTTCCCAGGTATAATCCCCAGAACCTCCACATAGGGCAAGGAAGAAATCCTGCCCACAACTCTGGAAAGCTGCTACCCATTGAAGTTGACAGCACTGGGCCAGATAAGCCAGTGGACAAAGTGTAAGGCATTTTCCTGTATTCCTAATCTATGGTGATAGCAAAGAGTAATTGGTTAATACGCTGTTAAAATTGGTGGACTGCTTTGGTCCTTTCATTGGCTCTGTCTTCCATACCTGAGAATATCAGAATGACAAGAAAAGATTAGAATTATGACATGTTACCTTACCTGCAACATCTCAATTCCAAGCAGCAGCTTAACGAGACTTTCACAGTATGAATGGATTGCATTACTGTAATGGAAAGACTTCACTGTTACTATTATAAAAAGAAAACAATTTCAGAAATACTGTTTCTTTAATGTAGGGTATGCATCACAGAACTACCAAAAAAACAGGAGGAATCCAATTTAAAATATGGGGTGGAGCCCAAAACAATAATTTTTACTGAAGACCCACTGAAATTAGTGGGATTGGAGTTAATCACAACTGGGGAAACCTAATCTTTCCAGACCAGCAAGCACATTTGCAATTTTGGATGTATGTTGTGGATCCTGTTACAGAATGACTCCCATAGAGTAGGGGGAGCCTGCCCAGTAACAAAATGGCTCCTGTAGTGGGCCTCGCCAGTCAAAAAATACTTCCCAGAAGACAGTGAGGCTAAAAGAAAAGTAACTTGCCCATGGCCCAGTGCAAGGCTGAGGTGTGATCTAAACTCAAAAATATAAAAATCACTCTTTTGAATCCAGTTCTCTGCTCCAACACAGAAAACAAACTAATGAGATCCAGAGACAAAGATGGCCCCACAAACTACTACTTTACTGAGGCATATCCGTCTCCAAGCTGAAAAAAGAGTAAGAAAAATGTTCAAAAATTAAAATATCAGGCGCAGTACAGATATTGAGCATAGCAGGTGCCAGGGGAGATGTCCTCAGCCCACACTGGCAATCCCAGATCATAACTACTATATATTTCAAAATGTCTTCCACTGATTTCATTATACAGTACGTATCTTCTCTAAATCTGGATTCAGGTCTAACATATGTATATTGAGATAATGCCATATACACAGGCTTGAACTCTTTAGAGAAATGAAAGGACACAATTCCCATAAATAAATGTCCATTCAGTTTCATCACTAGTCCTCTATACTGAGTACTAAAGGTCACACTTTATGTTTAGATAACATTCTCAAAACATCTGTCTAAAAAGACAGAATTAACTTCTGCTCCCAATTCCCCCTCCCTTTAAAAAAAAAACACCACTGATTCTAATCTGTAAGCAGACTCGTGTGCACACAAGGAAGTTTGGGAAAACCAGCCATGTCGAAAACCACTGGTGGGGGTGGGGAAGAAACAGTTTTCATTTACCTTGTTTCCTGACTTTGCGCAGGTACACAAGGTAGTAGACAATTTCTGAACTGATCTCGGTTTTCAATGTGGGATTCAAACCCACTGATGAACTCTTCAGTAATCTAACACAAAAGAGAGAGGGGGGAATAGAGAGTGTGAATAAAGACTGGGCAATAAGCCTGACAGTAAGATACAGTGCTGCCTCACTTAACTATGTTAATTGGTTCCAAAAAACTCATCGCTATGGGAAAATATCGTTAAGCGAAACGTGTTTTCCCATAGAGATGCATTGAAAACCGGTTAATCCATTCCAATAGGCACGGATTGCCATCCTTAAGCGAAAAAACCCATAAGAAACATTGTTAAGCGATACAATGTTTCCTCCATTGGAATGCATTGAAGCCTATTCAATGCATTTCAATGGGTTTGCGATGTCCATTTTTGCAAATTTAAATGTGTCTTAAAAGGTTCAAAAACTGTTTTAAATGCTTGGAATCGTTAGTGCACCTTCTAAAACAGCTGTCAAAAGTTGTCAAAAGTTGGGCTCCCTTGTTTCCTATGGGGGAGAAAAAATTCACAAGAAATTAACGAAGACTCAGAAGGAAGCCAAACTAGGTTTGCACAGGTTTTGCAAGGTGCTCTAACGAATCCAAGCATTTAAAACAGTTTCTGAGTCTTCATTAATTTATTGTGAATTTTTTTCTCCCCCATAGGAAACAATGGGGCTGTCAAAAGTTGGGCTCCATTGTTTCCTATGGGGGAGGGAAAAATTCACAATAAATTAACGAAAAGTCAGCAACTGTTTTAAATGCTTGGGTTCGTTACAGCACCTTCTGAATCGCGGGCAAACCTAGTTTGGCTTTGTTCTGAGTCTTTGTTAATTTTATGTGAATTTTTTTCTCCCCCATAGGAAACAATGGAGCCCAACTTTTGACAGCTGTCAAAAGTTGGTTTCAATGCTTTCCTATGGGGGAGAAAAAAATTCAGCAAAAATTAACGAAAAGTCAGATCAAAGCCAAATTAAGTTTGCACACGTTTTAGAAGGTGCACTAACGATTCCAAGCATTTAAAACATTTTTTGAACATTTTAAGACACTTTTAAAATTGAAAAAATGGACATTGTTAAGCGAAACAGGGGACCTAAAAATGCATTCGCTATGTGAAGCATGGTCCCGAAATCGCTAAGCGAAAATCGCCCATAGGAAACATCGTTAAATGATGCATAGAATTCTTTTTTAAAAATCATCGTTAAGTGAAAACATTGCTAAACGAGGCAATCGTTAAGCGAGGCACCACTGTATATGCATACACCTTTCAGGTCTACTAATGTGCAGGCACATAAAGCTAACAAAGTCTGCTCTCTGCATGAGGTCAATTTTTCTTGACCTCTTCAGGCAAATGAATGAGAACCAACATCGATGTAAGCCCACTGATATTCAAAGACTATAAATGCTGTACCTGTGGATAAGAAGGGTGCTTCCTCAATGCTTGATGTAACTTCTTCTGGAATATTGCTCCATCCACAGCTATGGGAAAAGAAAATCAGCTGTGTGAGGAAAGCCAAACATTGCCACACTTACTTCACAAATTTTCGAATGAGCCACTTCCCTACTTCTTTAAAACTGATTAGGATAAGCTGTCTACAACCACATAGGCACACTGCTTTAAGGGATGCAGTTGTAGAATGAAGTCATAAACCAAGTGCATTTCTGTATCTTTAACAGCTGTACAATTAGAACAATACCAGCAGGGAAAGCTTTTCTGATTACTGCATTTGCAACTTGAGAAAATCTTCATCCACTAAATTTCTGCATGTTTATTGGGTATAGTCCAGCAAGAAAAAATAGCAGCTTTGAGATAATAGTTGAATTTCTGCTTTTCCTAAAGCAGACAGAATATTCCAAAAGCACAGAATTTGTCAATAAAAATGTAGTAATTCTACAAGATTCCTGAAGCAACTACATCTGTTAAGAACAAAATGTGTACAGTATAGTATATAGTCAATAAATAACTGAAAATACCACATACAGTAGTACCTCATGGCGCAGTGGTTAAACCGCTGTACTGCAGTCAAAACTGTGCTCACAACCTGGGGTTCAATCCCAGGTAGCCGGCTCAAGGTTGACTCAGCCTTCTGTCCTTCCAAGGTCGGTAAAAGGAGTACCCAGCTTCCTGGGGGGGGGGGCAATGTGTAGCCTGCATAATTAACTTGTAAACCGCCCAGAGAGTGCTTGAAGCACTATGAGGCAGTATATAAGCAGCACGCTTTGCTTTTTGCTTTGCCTCGATTTATGAAATTAATGCGTTCTACGGGACGTTACATAAAGCGAAAAATTCGTAAACCAAAACGCAGACTGCTATAGGAATGGGGCGCTGCTATGAACCTCCAGGCACAATGCATCCTGGGGAAACTTTCTTCATAAACCAAAAAACCCCGGGGGAAAATAAAGTAAACTGAGGCATTATTTCTACGGATTTTCTTTCGTAAACCGAAAATTACGTTAACCAAGGTGTTCGTAACCAAGGTACTACTATACATTTACATACCTTTCTGGAGCAAACAAGGGACAAAAAAAGGATAAAGAACTCATTTTTCAAGTTTAATGCATGCATACGCATGTATCTTACCCTAGATATATGTATGTGGATAGTCAATATGAGATACAAGGGAGTTCCTTCACTGCCAACAATGCGCTTTCAGTTTCTCTGTTGCTGTTTGCAAACACTTTCTGCTCATGCTTCTCACCAGCAAAACAATAAGGGAATAAAGAAGACTCACCCAACTTGCAACTCGCCAAGATAAAGGCAGCCCACCAACCATGTGTGGCGGTACTACCAGGAGTTTGATAAATCTTTGTAGAAGCCTGCCTTGATTGCAAAAAGGAAAAGAGCTAGGAGGTCTTACATACCATTCTGTTGATTTGGACACACACTAAGAGAAATGCTAGTTAAATTCAAATCAACAAGATCAACATTATTGTAATTCTGGAGAATGGCATTTCTCCAGAAATGCTAACCAGCGCTAACTAGGATTAGCAAGATCAGATTAGACTTTAAAATACGAATCCGTAATTTAATCTAAATGTTTAAATCTAAATTTCTTTTTAGTGTAACTTTTAGATATAGCATTTGTCAAGGAATCAAAGTTTATACCAATTTCATTCTGCCTCTCTCCAGCTTTCAGGATAATCCCTGCTGTCTTGAGAAGTTGTCCAAAAACAGTGTTGTTCTCCACAACTCCATCTTGGGGAACAGAACTTTTCTTACCAAAAATCCGAGACTTCTTTGCTTCTAGGATAGAAAAACTGCTTATGTAAGAGATACAAGTGTAATTTTTGTGAGCAATTATTGATACAAGTGTCTGAACTGAGAAATTTCATATCGACAAATTCTATCAATCAGCAGTTGAGGCCCAGAATGGTGAAATCACTGTACTTTATATTCTAGACCAGGGGTCATCAACTCCCGGTCCACAGCCTGGGTCCGTGGGCTTGCCGGAATTGGGCCGCGGATACAGATCTCCACCCCCCATGCATGCACGGCCTGTGTGTCACGCTCATGCAGTGGGCGTGACACACCCATGGTGGGTGTGTCACGCACCCCACAAGTGCAACACGCCCCGTGCAAGCGTGACATGCCCACTGCATTCCCCCCAGCCGGTCCACAGTTCCAAAAAGGTTGGGGACTGCTGTTCTAGACAATCTCTAAGAGGGGTTGGTAGCAGATACTATTAATGAAGCAAGCTGCCATCTACAAAGTATTTCAGTAATTCATCTGTGAATGGAAATCTAAATATTAAATTAACTGAACAGAAATCATGAACTGAAGAGAAATAAACTAAAATCCATGGGCTTTAAACAGCTTAACATTGGAGCTGAGTTATGTCCTCTCATTACACTAAACTGATTAATGCTTCTAGGATGTCTTGAACCTGACTCTTCCTTGAAATCCTCAAATCAGAAATATGGGATGATTTATATATATATATATGTGCAGGCAAGAGGAGAAGGGGACGACATATATATACAACACACACACATATGTGTGTGTTGTATATATATATGTGTGTTGTGTATATATGTGTGTGTGTGTGTGTGTGTGTGTGTGTGTGTGTGTGTGTGTGTGTTGTATATATGTCGTCCCCTTCTCCTCTTGCCAGCACTTTCTAAACATAGGGTCTTTTCCAGGGAGTCTTCTCTTCTCATAAGATGGCCAAAGTATTGGAGCCTCAGCTTCAGAATCTGTCCTTCCAGTGAGCACTCAAGGTTGATTTCCTTCAGAATGGATAGATTTGTTCTCTTTGCAGTCCAGGGGACTCTCAAGAGTCTCCTCCAGCACCACAATTCAAAAGCATCAATTCTTCGGAGGTCAGCCTTCTTTATGGTCCAGCTCTCACTTCCATACAACACTACTGGAAAAACCATAGCTTTGTCTATGCAGACCTTTGTCTGTCTGTCTGTCTATCTATCTAAAGATATATATAACATCCCTTATATCTAATTTGAGAGACATACAGTGCGCTAGACGATAATCCGTTCCACTGAAATCACTGTTTAGCGAAATCATTGTCTAGCGAAAAGCATTTCCCCATTGGAATGCATTGAAACCCCTTTAATGTGTTCCAATGGGGAAGAATCATCATTGTCTAGCAAAGATCGACCACAGGAAATTTATTTATTTATTTATTGGATTTTTCCCCCGCCCCTCTAGACAATGTCTACTCGGGGCGGCTTACAATTAAAACACATTAATATATACATATAAAATCATAAAATTTTTCAGTATTTACAATTATAATTACAATTATAATTTATAGGAAAGCTGCTTTGCGAACCGCCAATCAGCTATTTAAATAGCTGTCTTACGAAGCTTAGGTCCCGAAAACACCTTTTGCGAGCGCGGAGGGAGCTGTCAAAATCATTGTCTAGCGAAAATTGGTTTGCAAAGCAGGGACCAAACATTGTCCAGCGAAATTCCCCCATAGGAATCGCTGTTTTGTGAATCGCTATAGTGATCTCAAAAAGCCAATGTCTAGCGAAAAAACTGTCATGTGGGGTAACTAGCGAGGCACCACTGTATATTTCCTAAGAATACTTAGCCACCATGGTCAGTGAGAAATGTAGTCCAAAAAAGGAATCTTCTTGTCTCTAGTCCTACAACAGGTCTTTTCTTGGCCTTCTATGGTGCTTTGTTAACCACTTGAAACACTGATTAACAATAAAGATATCACACTTGGGAGACATTATTTGAATTTTTTTATTTAGAGAATGATTGCCTCAGGAATGTTCTACTTATGGTAGTTTCATGTATTCAGTGCTCAGGGCTACAGAGGGAAAGGGGCTAGCAGCAGTGAGGGTAAACCACACAGAATTTCTTTTTTGCCTGCCCTTGCGTTCTGCTTGCACTGTATAAGGTTCTTTGCTTACATACTCGGTAATTCTTCTATCAGATCTTCACCACGAGCATCCGATCTCAGTGATTTCCGTTTTGAAGTCATGGCAACAGGTCCTGATACAGCCTATTATATGAATATGGGAGGAGAGAGTATTAGAAGCTGGTTATAAAGAGATGTTTTTAAGACTTTGCAAACAATTTGGCAATGAAAGGAAATTAAAATACTGCTCCAAAAGTCAGAAGCTGACCTACTTGAAAGATGCCTTAACATGTGAATAACAAAAAAGATTTGCTACAATAATCTGGTAAGTCAGAACATAAGGTACTAGTTTTAGGCATAGTTCTCATAAGTGGGACACTGCAATAAAATATAGTAGGGAGCACTTTTGTATAATATTCTAGCTGTGCCATTCCTTGTTTTCTTCTTTCTTTCCTCATCAACTAGTCAACATCCCAAGTTGAGAGAGCATGTGTAGTTCCCACTAGAATGTTGGGGAAGGCTTTCAGGGGTGTCACGGGATTCCTCCCTAGCCGGGGGTGCGCTGGTGGTAAAGGCGGGAAAGAGAGTCGGAGGCTGATCTGAACTTTCAATAATAACGTCTTTATTTTTAACAGCATTCAACTCAACGGAGTCAAAGGGATCCATTAGATTCAACTCAGGCAACAACTTGTACTTTTTCACTTTAACATTTGGCAAAGTTGCATCATTCAATAGAAGGGGGCCGGGCCGAAACGCTCGCGATCTGTCAACGGCCTCAGAGGGGTACTCCTCACGGCGCAGACCGTGCCACAACATGGGTGGCGGGCCCAATCTCCCTCCGGAGGCTTCTGGAGGAAAGAGGGACCAGGCTTGATCACTCTCCTCCCACCAGGGTGGTTGCGGGGATACACAACCACGGTCCATTCGAGGGGGTCCAAACCTTTTCCAGCAATCCCAGCCGCCGAGGGTTCCGGCAATAATCCACTCCCCCACTGCAAATTAGGAAACGCTTGAGCAAGTCCCGTGGGAGTCTCTCCTCCGAGCATGGGTTCGGTTTGCACCCCTCGGTCTATCGTATTCCCCAAAGCTCCGACTCCCACCCAACTAAACTCGCGCGCCTTTTCTCCCACCCTTTATCTCCTCCCATAGAATCAGGTCTAGATCCTCCCCTCCTTCCTCTACTAGACACACTTCCGTGGCTCTTCTAGGGACTGCTTCCTCAGGTTCTATCTTGACAAGGACGCCCTCCACGCAACCGCTCTCGCTCTGCACGTCAGTTGGCCTAGAGGACGGCGCACGGGTCTGGTCTCCTTTGCTTCATAAGGGGGCAGGGTTTAGACTTAATTTGTTCAATTCTGGCTATATTAAAATTCAGATAAGAGAATTTTTCTAGATACTAGAAAAGACTTAACTAGTTTAGATAACTATTACTCTGCTTGAAAGCCTAATCTGTTCACATTAATTTCAGGTGGAGATTTTTTTTATCCCATTAAATTGCTACTGAGACATTTCTTTTATTTATTTATTTGATTTCTATATTGCCCATCTGGCAGCCAAGGCCACTCTGGGCGGTTTACAACAAGTAACATAAAAAAACAAATTAACAAAATAGGAATAAAAACATCATTGTGGTTTGCCTTTGACTTCTGAAACACTGGACTAGCAGGTGTAGTATCATTCAAGTTATGGTTTAAAATTATGGTTTCCAACCTTTTTGCGGGTAATTCCATTCTATTCCCTCTCTCAGATTTTTTATTTCTATCGCCAATACAGAATGTCCCTAAATCCTTATGGGGCTGTTTTGGGATTCTCTCCCTTGGCTCTTTAATAGGCTTTTAGGCATTTGTAACTCAGTCTTACCCTGTCTGATTACCAGTGGTGAAAAGTGAAAACAGATTACATATTTTCTAGAATTCTTGTAAGGTAGTATTGATGCATTAAATAATTAATGCCAGTGAAACAGTCTTCAGGAATTACAGTATTTAACTTTCCTCCTGATACTGTGGCACTTTCATTCTTACCTACTCTGACTGCAGATAATATCAAGTATATGATCTGACATGGAAGCAAAAGAGGTAAAGCTTCTTCTGACAGTAATAGTCCTTGTGAAACTGCAAAGACCAAGATGCTTCACTTGATAACCTGGTTGCAATGAATTTCTACTTACTTGACCACAGACTGATGGATGCAATGTACAGTACTTTATTTTTAAATAAATATACTCAACATTTTTTTCCAAGAACACTGACCTAAGAGAAGATGGAGCCATGTGTGCCTTTGGCTTGTTTTTAAAAAACAACCAAAAACACATGCAGAGATCAAGTGGAAAGAAAATCAAAGGAATGGGGGCACCTAAAGATTGCTATGTACGGAGAATTATTATGAGAAAATTTCCTTCTCCACAACAAGGTGCCAGATCCCTGTTCTCTTTCTCTGATGACCACACAGAGAGAATGACAACAACGTTCCCCTTCTACCAAAAGTATCTCTGGTAGTTAATTTTCACTTCAGTTCGCTAGTTGGGTTTGTTTTTATCGGGGTTGCTTTTGCTGGACTTTGAATCGCTTTCATTTTGTTACTGTACATCTGTCACCAGACAACATCTGGCCTATTGAGAAAGAACTTCCACCAACCGAAGAAATAGTGAGCTGTCAAGCCAACAATTTAAAAAAAAACAACAACAAAAGCACGGCCCCCATGTTGGAAGAGGGCGCCAAAGGTCCGCCTCAGAGTATGAGAAAGTGTAAGACAACATGTGTTACAACAGCTGCCTCCGTACATCTTCATCCAGTGCGCCTTTTCAGTCCAGTCAGCTCCAACTGGTTAAACTGGGGCGTGCTCTCTCGGACAAGCAAGACCACAGGACTAAAAATAACCAGCAAGAGGCGGGCAGGCGGGCTCCCTCCACTTCAGCAGCTCTTAAGATACAACAGCTTCCTGCCTCGACCCTGCTGGACAGACGAGCTCCTAGCAAAAAAGAAAAACCCAAACAAACCCCGAAGGAAATGTTTCTCTGGTGCCACTTCTTCTCGCAGAGGCGCCACGTCTGCTCTGCCGGCTCAGCCCTTACCCTGGAAGCGAAGCACAAACACCTCGCCGACGTTTCCCTCCAACTTCTTTCTCGCTCGCTCGCTCGCGCGCTCAAATGATCCCGCCAAGCGCCGACACGGGGCGCCTGGCGATGACCTCACGGAGCACGTGGCGCCGCGGCTGCCGGGCGATTTGCGAAGCCGTCACCCGACGCTTCCGGAAATAGGAGAGGCGGGCGGACGGGGAGAGAACGGGACCAGGCCGGTGCTGGTAAGGGGGGGGGGTGTAACGTCGGGTTGTAGGGCTTGGGCGCGTGTCGACCTGGCGGAGGGGGAGGGAGAGGCTCCTTCCTTTCTGTCTCTGGAGAGACGCAGCGTTGCCCTGGCTACGGGGTTTAAGGGGACGTCGTCACCGAGCCCCTCTTCTCTCCTTCCTTCCTTTCTGTCTCTGGAGAGGCGCACCGTTGCCCTGGATACGGGGTTTAAGGGGACCTCGTCACCGAACTCTGTCCCCCAGTGGTTAACTGTGAGGACGGGAGCGGGGGGGGCGGCGTTGGGGGTTCAGCCCTGCGGGACCCTGGAAGCCCCTCGCCGTCATTCTGGGCGCCTGGAGCCTGGTTGTGGGGTATTTCATGGCAAAGGAGTGGGAGCTGATGCCCGCTGGTCTGTAGGATTTCCTTTGTCCTGCCTCTGAGGGTTTTTTTTTTACTCGAAATAAGTTTTGGGGGGCAGAGTTTCCTTTCAGATGAAGGCTGGCTGGCTTCTTAATGATATTCCCAGCTTTCTTGCTTCCTCCTCTCCCACCGCACCTCATCCTCTACCCCACTGCCCAGGGTGGCATTTTCTCCAGCCTTCAAGTTTCCATGAAGATGAACTAGAAGGTGGCCTTTCATGACCCAAGTGTCTTCTGTTTCCCCATACCAGCTATAGTTTTCTTGTTTTTAAAAATAGAAGGAAATGAAGAGTGACTACTGTACTAGATTTAGAAAGGTCACTGTGTTCTGTGGAAATTTGGTGGTCTGGAATGGGAAACATCTTTTAAGACAGTTTTTAATCTCTGGGCTATGGACATCTAGGACTAATTCTTTAAGAGTCTGTGGGTGGACTACAAGGGTTCTGTGAACTAAGGGCAAGAATGTTTTCCTTCTATTTGTGCTGGTTTGGGAAATGTCTTTGTAAAAATATGTTTATCTCAGACTATTCATATTTATATTATCTCAGACTATTCATATGTTGTTTCACTTTCAGGAGGGGATTCATACACTTCATTAGATTTTCCGTGAGGTCTATGACCTAAAAAATGTTGGAAACCATAATTTAAAACAATAACACGATTGATACTACACCAGCTAGTCCAGTGTTCAGGAAAGTTAAAGGCAAACCACAAGTGTCTAGTTTTATGTAATATTTATCAGTTTTTATGTCATATTTTGTGATTTTTGTAGGTGTTAGAAACCGAAGCTGTTGTACATGACCAGAATTACATTTAAGCAATGAGTGAACCAGAGCTGTTGTTGGATTCTAATATTCGACTATGGGTGGTGCTTCCGATAGTCTTTATAACCTTCTTTGTTGGGATGATTCGCCACTATGTGTCCATCCTGCTCCAGAGTGACAAAAAGCTTACTCAGGAGCAAGTGTCTGACAGGTAAGAGATGCTTCCAGCTAAACAGCTGGCAGTTATCCAATAATAATTACAGTCTATAGAACTTGATATTATATTGTGGTGATAGTGTCTAGCATTCAACAAATATTTCTAAATGCAATTGCTTCACTGTAACAGTTTGGCTCTGTTTGTGCATGTATTGTACTTTTAATGTAATCCTGGTACCAACTTTGCTCCTCATTGTCCAGATGGTAGATATGCCTATGGCCAAAGGGTCTCTCAGCTTGCTTCAGCTGGAGCACTGTGAACATTTCTTGAAAGGTCAGACAGTTGGAACCTCGGCTACTGGTTCCTGTCAGCTGGATCGACAAAAATTCATAACATTATGCTCCATAAACTTAATTAATTGCCGCTTTGGGGCTAAAATTCATGACAAGATATTTGTATTATTGAGATTTCTAGATTATTTGGACACAATTTTTACCCCATTCTTCCCATAAAATGGCTCCCAGCATATCTTAAATAAAGAGAGTAACTACCCACAGTCTTGCAGTCCAAAAGGCATAATACAGAAGGAGAAATAATTGGAAGGATGGAGAAGGAAACACTTACAGATGTACATAGCACTTCTTGCATGTTTTGACTTCTGTGTTTAGGCTATCTACTGATTCAAACTTTGCAAATGCTCACTGATCTGTCATATATATTTTTTTCTGATTACAAGAGCATGGGAGATGAGACAGGGATAAGAAATTGTTCCTTCAGCCAGTGAAATTAGTTTGCTTTAATAACCTGGGTTTAAAATTCCATTGCCATTTGTGTCATACAGCTTATTAAATTATTTTTTGTTTTTAGTCTGTTAATAAGGACTCTGCCTCCGTTTCATTTTTGTGCATTAATTTTATTGAACATCTCTTTGGAGATCCTCATGAGTAGAAAAGTTATTTATAAATACTTCTAATAAATATGACCTGGTTTATTTATAAGGAGTTTATTTAATTATGGGGAAATACGTATACAGTGGTGCCCCGCTTGATAACGATAATGAATTCCAGCAAAATCGCTGTACAGCGAAATTGTTGTCAAGCAGGGGGGGAAAACAATTGAAATGCATTGAAAACTGGTCAATGCGTTCCAATGGGAGAAATACCTGATTGTGCAGCAAAGATCCTCCATAGGGCTGTCATTTTCCGCTCCCTGTCTTGCGAAATGAGGGCAGCAAAACAGCAGGGAGCCATTTTGAGAGCCGCCGACCAGCTGTTTTAAAATCATCGTGAAGCAAAAAATCGGTTTCTGAAGCAGCGAACCGATCGTCGTAAAGCGAAAAAAACCCATTTGAACCATCATATTCACAGGTGACAAGAATTTTTGGTATGCATCATGAAGACATACTAATTTTTCTAAGACCTGGAATGTCATCAACAAGCGATTTCATTGTCTACCGGGGTAATAGTCAAGCGGGGCACCACTCTACACTATAATGCAAGTGTGGGCAAAGAGTGGCCACTAAGGCCTGAATATGCCTCCAGACAGCACTCTACACTGTGAAAATATTTTAGCAAAACAAAAAAAGGCAATCCTACCCAACCACACCAACTTTCTCCCCCAAAGCAGTGTCGGGCATCCACTATGAATGTGTCAAAAATCTAAAAAAAATGGTGGTTACAGGAAGCGAGAAGTGATCCCCTAATTGTTTCAAATTGCCTACTTGTGATGTTACATACTGTCCCACAGAAAATGCATGCATTGGGTAGTTGTTCCATACATTAATCTGTCTGTACAACTTTACTGCTTTCTGGCTAGTTAAATAAAAAATGTCCTCTTTCAGAATGGCTGTCTGCTCATAACGGCTGTGCCACTCTTCAGGTGTGAAGCATCCTTTTAGCAGGGAGCACAGAAAGCATGGAAGACTGAGTGTCTGACTCTGCCATTGGGTTAAAGAATAAAATCTGTTCTTATTAGTATGTAGTCTCGCGTTATGGGAAGAATGGGTTCCAAAACAACCTTTGTAGCTAATATTTGGTAGATGAAAGTGGTGCAGATATTAACAGAGCTTGTGCTGGAGTATCTTATAATAAATTCCTTTCTTGCAGTCAAGTTCTAATTCGAAGTAGAGTCCTCAGAGAAAATGGAAAATACATTCCAAAGCAGGTATGTTTCCGTATGTAGAGAATATTCACAGGTGACAAGAGTTTTTGGTATGCATCATGAAGACATACTAATTTTTCTAAGACCTGGAATGTCAGTCTTCATTACGATCTGGAATGCACATTGTAAACACATTTGTGCAAACAGACTGGAGCAGTTCTGTTGAGATGAAAATGAAGTAGTGTACGTGCATAGTCAGTTTTGATGCCTGTGGGTGTTTTGTCAAAGGAGTTCACAGCCCTGTGCCTCTTCATGTTTTGGACTACAGTTGTCATAACCTCCGGCTACACTGACTGAGATACGGGAATTCTGAAACATTTAGGTTACCAGTTTTTCTACATCTGTGTTAATGCACTGAAGGCAGGATTTACTTTAGAAAATTAATCCGTAAGGCTTCTGTTTCCCTTTCTGGTGGGAGTGCCCAATAAAGCATTTGTTTGGAGACGTTATGTAAATTGGACTGATAGCTAAGATGATTGTCTCCAAATAAGTCCGCCTCTGTGCCTCATTCATATAATTTTACAGGGGATTCCAAAGACATTGCCTTCCAGTTGTAATCCTCTAGTGTTTTCCACAACAGAAGAAATCTGTTTGGAAGGGAAGGACAGAATAGCAATATAGTGCTTTTTGATTGTTAGCACAAGAAGCTATCTGTTCGGAAGCATAAAATGTTACTCTTAGATTCTCTTTGCTTCTTTTCAGTATTATAGTGTGGAGAACACAAGAAGATTTCAAATGGAAAGCAAATAACTGGCTGGATAGTTCAGTGAGTTAGCTGTCTGGCTGTGTTGGTACCAGAGGTTGGTAGGTCAATTCCCCACTGTGCTAAGGAGAAGAACCAACCTATGTAGCCTTAGGCAAGCTTCACAGTCCAGAGTATTCCCAGAACAAAGACATGGTAAACCACTGCTGAGTACTCTCTACCTAAAAAACCCTAGAAAGGGTTGCCATAAGTTAGAATTGACTTGATGAAACATAATTATTATTGTTAGAAATACAGCATCATAGAGTAAGTGTATTTTGTTAAAATTTATATATAACACGGAAGGACTTCTGTGTTGGGCTCTGTTGATTCTCTCTGTTGATCCAGAACTTGAGATGTATTACTGTTGTTGCTTTCCTTGAAATCAGAATGGTTAGTCTGAAGTACAAATGTTAGCCACCAGTTTCACTGGCTCTTTTATAGAGAAGTGCATTGTCTTTAGATTTAAAAACCCATGTCCAATTGCCTTAATCATTAGAATTTGCCCTTTTTTTCCAGTCATTTCTGATGCGCAAGTATTACTTCAATAATCCTGATGATGGGTTCTTCAAGAAAACTAAAAGGAAGGTAGTGCCACCTTCACCCATGACAGGTATGTAAAAAGGTGTCCTTAGAAGGTCTAAATTAAGACGTACATGTTTTGTTACCTTCAGAAACATAAACAAGATCTTCTGAGCTTAGGAACAGTAAGAACAGGCACTAGTTCATGAGTAGTAGCTTGGGGTACAAAAGGTATTTAGCCATTTAGGATATTTTACATATCCTAAATGGCTAAATTCTATGTGAATTTGAACTACAGTGGTCAAAATTAATGGAACTTATCCATCACAGGTAGTATACATTTCATCGCTTTCAGTAGATCTACTGTAGTTTGGACTGTTGCAGGATTTAACTCAGTCACAGCATTCTCAGCAGCAGAATATAGTCTTGGGTTGGAGACTTGAAGAGACCTGTACAACAAGTCCATTAAAATACCCAAGAGTGCAGGTAGTGCCTATTAGGTGTTCACCTGAACTGTGTTTGCTTTGCAGATCCTACCATGCTGACGGATATGATGAAAGGAAATGTAACAAATGTGCTGCCTATGATACTTATTGGTGGCTGGATCAACATGACCTTCTCAGGTTTTGTCACAAGTGAGTGTCAGCCTCAAACTACACCTGGATGATTTGGAGGCCTGGGGTCTCTTTGTGACCCTGTAACATCTTCCTAGAGGCCTTGTCCATGTGTTTGGTTATTGTGTGTAGTTTGAGAAGCAGTGGTCATGACAAAATCAGTGCTTCTCAATTTCAGTTTCCTGTCTGTGAAAAGGGAACAATGGCTTACTTCACACTGGAGACAAGGAGTGTCTGCATCACTGCTGAAAGCATTTATCACTCCTTAGGTGTGTTATTGTAACAGTCATGTATTCAGTACTCAGGAATAGAGATGGGAGTATTGAATACAAATATCCCAGCACGGTGGAAATAATGAGCATCCAGCCCCATGGGGCCAGACGGTCCACTCACGATTTCACTGTTGCCACCGGCTCCACAGAGGCTTCCTATCACTCCGTTGTCCGCAATCAATTACCCACTCCTGACAGGAGGCGGGATGATAAGCCTCTGCCAGGTCGCAGAGTGGCTAATCCATTGTGGATTATTTCCACCTGTGCGGGGTTATACGAATAACCCCATCTCTATTGAGGAATGAATCACTTCTACTTTAATTGGACTGTGTATTCATGTGTGCTAGTTTGACACACCTAGTACTACCTGATGTATTATTACTTTTGGTATCACTTGTTTTTTGGGGGGGAAATCCTACTAGGTTTATATTTTATTGTTATCCATTAGATCAGACACTAATGAAGTGAGCTCTTGTCTATGAATGCTTATGACACATTATATTTGTTATCCTCTTAATGATATTAGAGTCTTCTTGTGTTAGGCTAACAGTGCATTCCTATGTATGATTATGCGGAAGTACATCCATCTGTGTTAAGTGGTTTTTACTCACTGTTGGCCATTATAGGAAGTTGAACAAATCTGGAGGCACCAGACTGAAAGAGGTTTCTGTTAGATTACAAGATAGCACAGCTGCCCCTCTAAAATTTACTTCACATAGCAATTTTTAAAAGTTTTCCAGTCACCATACACATTAATTTTAAGAACTGTCTTCTGGTGCAGCCTGGTTTGTCATGAAAAAGCTGTATGTTGGTGCACAATACAGTCCATTTGCTTTTGTTTGGCTTCTTCCACTAGTTATTGTTATGTGCGGTCAAGTCACTTCTGACTTATGGTAATTATATATTTCTGCCAATTAAACTTTAATTCAGTTGCTTCATTAGCAATGACGCTATTTGTACTTGTACTTTGCTTTCCTCAGTAGCTATTGAGTCCCTTCCAACCCAGCAGTCTCGACTTCCATTGCTATATTTTGTTGTGTTTTGAATTGTCTCATTATTGTAGGGTTTCAAGGCATAAAATACTCTGACATGGTCTCCTGAACATCTTAACCAGTGTTAGTGTCACTGGCATTGTTTGCGGAAAATTCTCTGCCATTGTCACCACCCACTCCTGCTGCTGTGCAGTAGCTGCCTGTCAGGCGTTTCTTTGTCTCCATCACCTCTGAAACTATTGCTTCTCTTCTACTGATGTGTCCTTCAATCATAAAGAGAGTGGAAGCTCAGATAGTTTGGTGTCTGAGCTTTGACCATTCTGCCTTGGTTGCCCCTGCTAGGAGTCCAGATCCAGAATGTAGCCTCTTGTGACTACATTGTACTTATCATATGAGATACTTGCTTGAGCTTTCTACAGTTTAACCTGGTTTTGTTTCATATCTGGTACCTGAAGCATTGTACTAGATCATTGGTGTCATAAAATCAGACTGGTTTTCTGAAATTTTGATCATATAAGAATATAAGAACTGCTTTAATGGCGACATGCAGAAGTTCATCTAAGACAGTACTCTGTTTCATGCAGTAACTAGCCAGATGTTACCCGGCTGGCAGCTTGGCACTATCATATTTGTTTTGGATATTGTGATTGGTGTGAGAAGGATGGAAGAGGCTGGAGAAGGAAACTTGACAATGTAGTCTCACTTTTGCTTATCACAGTGACATCATGTATGCATTATCTGCATTACCTGAAAATAATTAGGCTAGCCTGGGCTGAATCCAAATCCATGTGGATGGCTTTATAAAGGAGGCTTTTTATTGTGTCTCAATCAGGCAGGATAATCCAGATTCTTCACTTCTGAGGTGCTCTAGCGGCATTCTCTTCTCATCCATTCCTACTCTAGTTCCCTTGTGTAGAAAATAAAGGGAAAGTACTGTAACTGCCTTGGGCTAGTATCCTGTTGCCTAAAAGTGGAGTGGAAGGGAAGTTGTATAAGCATCCTTCCTGGTCCAGCAGGCTCCCAGTCACATGACCAGTTACATACTGATCTTGCAACCAGTGCAAGAGCAGGCCCACAATGGAGGCCTTCCAGTTAGGGAAGAACTCTAGTGGCTTTTCTTTCTGCTTTGCTTTAAAGCCACAGGATGATACTCTTGGGAGTTTTGTTTATTTTATTTTATTTAACTTACATGCCGCCCACACTACCAAAGATCTCTGGGCGGCTTACAACAATTTAAATGCAATTACAATTACAATTACAATCTACAACAATTTAAATGCAATAAAAAGATAGAGATAAAACAATTACAATCCTTTTACAATCCTTCCACAAATTGAATATCAAATGAATCTTCAGGCAGCATACTGCCTTTGATTTGCTATATTGCAATGTTCTCTTAATGTCCTTTTATGTAGAGAAAAGAAAACTCAGGTGTGCACATGGTTGCAGTTATATTTGTTTTTCCCTAGGTGAGAAAAACACTTAGCATAATACATATATTCACTAAAATTGGCTAGAGGCCGAACAAACAAGTGACACCACCTGCTTTTATTGCAGCAGATGATGATTATGCTTCTAAACTTCGAAATCTAATTGGTGTTTGCATTAGCTGAGTTTTTATGTCTATCTCCCTTGAAGATTGTCTTGCCATCATGACTAAAATGAAAATGGAGGAAGCTTCATCTTGTGTTGTCTCTGAGGTCATTTCAAAATACTTCTACAGTTCCTTAAGTGAATGATCAAGAAACTTCTCTGTGGTTGTTGCTTTCCTGTTCCATGGGGCTGTTTCATAACAAGCTGTCTTACACCATGGCATACTGGTTGTCTATCTAGCTCCCTTTTCTCCTCTGGATTCCACATGGGAGTCTTCCCTAGCCTTACTGAGAGATCCAAGGGATTAAAGCTCAGACCTTTTATGTAGAGAACATATGCTTCACTTACTCTGAAATCTCAGCTATTGAGATTTTGGTTTTGAGCCTTTTGTGGAAAACACTTGTCTTTATTTACATTTCTCTGTAAATGTGTACAGTAGCACTGTGTAATTAAAGTAGTATGACCCAAATTTTTTATTTATTTATTTTTTGCAGCAAAAGTCCCTTTCCCGCTGACATTACGCTTTAAGCCAATGCTACAACAGGGCATCGAGTTGCTTACTTTGGACGCATCCTGGTAAGAACCCTCCCTTGTTAGACACTTTTTCGAATTCCGCCTGGAGCTGTGAAAACTGCAGCACAGTCAGCAATGAACATTTGTGCATCTAAGTTACATTTCATCTCTTTGTTTTGTTAGGGTGAGCTCCGCTTCTTGGTATTTTTTAAATGTCTTTGGACTGCGGAGCATTTACACACTGATTCTTGGACAAGACAATGGTAAGACACTGTTATTTTATTTAAAATAAGAGTAGACCGTTGGTCTAGATGGGCGGGATAGAAATCTAATAAAATAAACTAAATAATAAATAAATAAAATTTAGTTCTTGTTTGTGTCTGAGTGTGACAATGGAA